TGTCGTTACTAAAGGGTCATGCAGTGAAATTTTCTTTGGAACACATTTTGTGACATTCTACTCCTCTTATATGAAACTACTTGACATCCCTTTTTGGTTGATTAAAAGTGCACTTCTTTAAACTTAAAAAACCTGAAAATATGATTTACCTGACAACTGAGGGCGAAGTTGCTGTGATGCCATTTCAGGAAGACACTGATAATTTCAGGGATTTTCTTGTCAAATTGTGATCAAAAAATTTGCTTATTGAAAATATATGTAAGCGAAGGTAGCTCATTGGTTTAAAGCTATGTACTCGCACAACAAAGTGACCAAAGAAAAGAACATTACGACAGCAAAAATATCCCAAACTCGCAACTTTTTTTGTGCTGAAATAGCTGTAACATTGAGAATTCTGCCCTGAATGACTTCATAGTTTTGCGCATGAATATGGAAATTTGTATCAGCATACAAATCAAAAAGGCACCAAAATACCCTTTAAAAATGTCAAAACGAAAATTGGAAATAAGGTTAGGCCAAAAAAAGGTCTCCGGTTTCTGGTATGGAGCTTGCCCAAAAAGTGGTGCAGCGACGCTGCTTTTGTTTGTTTGGATTTTTTACCGTTTTTTTTCCTTCAAATGTCGGCTGATGACTGCAAATGTTGCCAGACTAAACTTAGTGCAAATATAATCCAGAGAGGCCACATAAAGCTTATTCTCGATCGTAACCCCATCTAAAACTTGAAACATTAAAATTGTGCGGCAGCAGGATTTCAGTCAAACCAGTGAATTTGGCGGTTTTGAGACATCATCTTTCATTGGAAAAAAAACTTTTTTGTTTTCATTTTGCCGACGGGCACGGCTACGGCAACGCGCGCGCATACCAGAAACCGGAGATTTTTTTGGCCTTTAATGGGACACAAGGTGCTTCTACAAGCATTTGAGAATACATTGCATGGGCCCTTGAAGCAAACTACCATCTGAACTGGTGGTCATATAACGTCATCATGGTCTCCTTGCTAGTAATTTCACCAAAGTTAAATCGTTGTTTATTTATTAATTTTCCGAACATTCATTGTATGCATCTAAGCGTTTGTCCTGGATTTGTGATAGTAAAGATAAATTGTATGATAACTATAGTAATAAATTGTAAGTTGGAGCAATTCCTAATGTACTAGCTTGTGTAATGGAACTGTTCTTTGTTTGTGCCTCTTTGATTAATGTATGTGTCGCTTTCACAGTGCATGTGCCTCTTCAATTGACGTTCTCATCGGGCATTGGAAGTTACATCGGTTGTTATTTTCAGACCACTTTGGTAATATTTGGACGGGGCTCTCTGTGTGTCTCATAGCATTCATCGCAGTGGATCGTTACGAGTGCGTGTGCCGTCCGGCCTGGGAGTTGTTCAAGCCCTGCCGCGCTTAGGCAGCGATCGCGACAGCCCTCGTGCCGTGTATCGTTGCAGAAACTCCAAACATTATGAACACAATCTGTTTCTGTGGAATAACAGACCAGCCCACACTGATCATGCAAGTCATTGGATTTATCCTCGCGATCTTAACGATCGGAATCTGCTACAGTAGGATCTACGCGACCATCCGACGGCACGTCAAAGTTGGGATCCATTCTGCGGTACACGGACCGAGGACCTGTCCCGTCCGCGCTGGCAAAAAGACCGCAGTGAATCAGGAATTCCCTCTGGCCACCATGACCTACGGGAACAACAACTCCTTGAACCCACCAGGCGCTCCCAGTGGACATTCAGAGTGTTGCCCAGATCCTAATCCACGAAATCTGCAAAATGCGTCTCCAGAAATCATGACGAAGAACACCAAAGTGAGCCAGAATGCCGATGGCGAGACGGCGCGACCTTCCCCTCGAGATGTCGGTACACTGGTACCAGTAACCAGTGAACGTACAAAGTGACCACCGCTGTTCGCCGCCAAACACCGGTTGATAGGCCAGCAATTCTGCTACAGAGGAAGACCACGCGAATGCTGTTCCTTACCAGTATCGTGTTTGTTCTGACGTGGATACCATTGTGGATCTGCGAGGCACTGCGATTCTCCACTGACGCAGACGACAACATTTTCGTCGAAGTATGGCCATGTTGGGAAGGCGTGTTATCTTTATCAACAATGCAGTCAATCCCTTGATCTACAGTCTTGCGAATAAAAGATTCCGCGGAGAGTTTGTCATTGAGCTGCGAAAGCTATCTCCAATGAAACGTCGTTAAAGAATTTAAAAAGAATACGAAGCTGTTTGCATCCTTAACACTGTCGTTGCATGACAGTCCCCCTCCCCCCCAAAAAAAATCAACCAGCGGTTGTTAAAACCCTTGCCGTGTCACTATCTTGTTCATGAAAAAAAGATGGAAAAAATCTCAAGATTGCCATAAAAATGCACATTGAAGATGCTAGCAAATTTGACACGGGTTCCAGTACTAGGTTGGATTTTAGCAGTACAGCTGTTCTATAAAGCAACGATATACATGTAATACGGAAAGTAAAAAGGAAAAGAAAAAAAAAGTGTTTTGTGTTGTGCACTAGTTCGTGTGTGTATAGACAACAACTATCAAAACAAAACAAACAAACTTATTATTAACGATAAAAAAACTAAATAAGGTCAAAGAAAAGGTGACAACCATAATTATTTTTCAAACTTATTGAGCCATTATATTTCATTTCGCGCTAATTTGCACAATTAATTTCTACGTTTTAGAGGCCATTAAAATTAAAGGCTTGGCTTAGCCCAGGTTTTTCTTTCATTTTCATTTTTCTCATTGACAAAACTGGATCATGTAAACAATATTTTAATTACATGTGTTGTAGACAAACAGAACAGTCACCTATCAATGTTCCAGCCATTATTTCAAGCTTGGAATGAGGCACAAGATCAAACAAACCAGATGGTACAAGGAAAAGCTGGGCAACAGAAACGAAACAAACAAATTCCAATAAAAAAAATGAACAATTGAACAAACAGGCTGGTTATTGTGATGGCAAGCAGCCATCGTCTGGTCTATGCATGTTTGCTTGCCCATACAGCAAGAAGATAATATTAATTATTTTACGTCGTGTTCCATTCGTTCACCATTGAAAAGTTGACAATAATAGAGAGGTGTACATTATAGAGGAGGAATGGGTCCACCTTTAACCAAAACATTTTTTTTGAGAAATTAGTCATTATAAAACTACGAAATGAAATTACCTATAATATAATGGGGTTGATATTGTGTACTTTGACAAATTGGATCCAGAAATGCTAATTCTATCATTTGAAATCTCATGCCCGTTTTGCTGTTTCTTTTAACTAAGTACAGCATGTTCTTGCATAAAATTTAGTTAAATGCATATTCTACAAGCTTTCTCCTCGATTATAATGACTTTTTAATAATCACATGCATGCTGGTTGTCGGTATCTGTTGCTATTGATCCTTTAAATATTCTGTTTGACAATTCTTCTTTCGTGTCCGTCATCTATGTTTCAAATGTTCGGCCAGGCTCTTGCGCAGTGAACAGCCTTCTCGTTTGCCACCGCTAGATCTTCCAGGCAGCACTGTTCACCAAGAAGTGGGCATATTAGTAGGTGTGGCATGGATTGTGCAGATGTTCCACATTCATTCTGTTTAACAATTTACCTTGTGCATTACTGTTAGATCATGCACTCCATACAAAACCCATTTTCATTAAAGGGCTCGTACAATGTAATTTTCTTAAAGCAATTCTGGGAAATGCACCTTTGTGCCCCATTTAACCTAATTTTCAAATTTTTGTGTGCATTTTTAAGGGTATATTGGTGCCTCTTTGGTTTTATGCTAATGCAAATTTCCATATTCATGAGCAAAAATGTCATTTTTGGCAGAAACCTCAATGTTACAGCTATTTAACCAGCCAGTTGCCAGAATTTTGGGTATTTCGCTGTCTTACATTTTCTTTTCTTTGGTGATTCGTTGTTGTGTCAGTACATGGCAGTAAGCCAATGAGCAAACTTTTCTCACAAATATTTTCAATAAGCAATTTTTTGGGGGTTCACAATTCGAACAGAAAATCCCCTAACTGAACAGTGTCTTCCTGAAATGACATCACAGCAACAACGCTCTCAGTTGTATAGGGAACATTTTAAACGTTTAAAGAAGTGTACGTTTCAATAAAAAAGGATGTCAAACAGTTTTCATACATTTAAGAGGAGTACATGTATAATGTTGCACACACATGTAATAATTATGTTTTAAAAAAACTTCACGAACCCTTTAAAACAACGATAGTGTTCAGAAGGCTCTGGATCTGGAAGCTTATTCTTCCAGCACTTCTACGAAGCCCTGAAAAGGAAAGAAGTCTGCTGCCAACTGTAAACCTCGTCATCTGTTCATGCTGTGTCGAGTGAAAAGACATTTACCTCAAAACTAAAAAGAGGTCTTCGGTTACGCAAGATAAAACATTTTTTTCTGACGCCAAAATATAATACATCTCGGATACATACTTGCAGAATTCAATATGTGAATAAGTTGAGTATAATGTACCAAAGCATGATCAAAACTATTCAGTTACATTAGAAAGTCCGTTGATTCCAAACTATCAGATATACACGCCTGCATATATAGACGACTCCGAACACGTAATCGTTGGACACTCATGGGGCCCCCTCCAATGGAGAAGCCATTGTGCACGCTATTGTGCAAAGTAATCACCCCGTGACGGATTGTCTGAACAATAGCTAGCACAATGCTTTCGCCATTGAAGGGGGCTTTCCTGATAGAATTAATAGCGTGCCCGGATTGGCCTATACTTGGCTTACAAAAACAGTTAAACATTAAAACTGTGCAATACTGCTTCTTGGCCACTCCCGTTGATCAGATACTGAACGTGACAGATACCTGAGAAAAATAATGTTACATAATGCAAATGACAAACAATGGAAGTTTTTTACCGGATAAAATAAAAATGCTCATTGTTACAATAATTATGCAGTTTTTGCTACCTGGCGAAATTGCTTACTTTACTTGGCAAAGACTAATGTGGTGCTTGATAAACTGACAATAGACCTAAGACATTATAAAGTCATGCTTTGTGGGAAAACCTTAATACATACATACTGAATTATGATTATCTTTGCAAATTTACCAATTTTCTTGATTACGTCAATTAAAGTTAAGCTAATTGTGATATACTCAATGCAATCGACTAACATTTGATGACATCATACTCATCAATCAGGAGTTTATTTCTAAACACGCTTTTCGGGTTCGTGTTGGAGCGCAAGCGAAGGAGCATCCCTATTATTGAACAAACGACAGTTATGACCACAAATTCCAACTTATTTTTGATGTGAAGATCTTTGGTCTGACCATACTGGGCGGGACCATCTCAAAGCAGGTGAAAGGTAACGAGGAGGGTGAGATGCACAAGGAGAACAGATTGTGTGATGGTGGATGCCACGCCTCGAGGCAAATTCTGTCCTTGATCTACACAAAAGAAAAAAGAAACAAGTGTAGAGTACTTTAAAATAGAGTACATGTAATAACAAAAAGACGGATGTGCCTAAGCTCAAGAAAAAGGAAACACAACTTGGTTATAAGTATTAAAGGAAGCCCATATTTCCCTCAACACTCTCGTTATGACACAAAGTGAACCTGTTTATTGAAAAAGCATCTACCAGTAGTACAATTAAAGTGGTACCCTCGGGTATTATATCTCTTTTGTGATACATGTATCGGATACTGAAACAAATAAGGTGAAAGAAGTCTGTTCGTTGCCGGGAAACGAGATGTATCGATTATCAAAGATGATCATACAATTTGAAACGTTGATTTTCGACTCGTTCATTTCAATCCCAGCATATGCGCCGGCGAACTTAATTGTAACTACCCTCATTGATGTATGTATTGAAAACAATAATACGATCCTATCTTTTTTAAATTTTCTTCACCTATGAGTCAATTGCTTTTCAAAAGGGGGGGGGGGGGGCACATTCCTTGATCAGAACTAATGCGAGCGCGAAGCGCGATGTCCTAACGGCGTGGGATTCGGGGCCCGCGTAAGGGCCCCTAAAAGTTTTGGATTCTAGATGCTCTGTGGTGCGATCTGAGGCAATTTCTGACCACTTTAACCTATTGTTTGAGCAAAAGATTGTCATTTAAACATCATTTCGAATTTGGAGTAATTGAAACAGCTATTCTGAGCTATAGAATCATAATGTAGGCTACATTTTTTTCGGGGACGAAAAAGTGGGGGGGGGGGGGGAACAAACGATAGGATATCCCCCCCCCCCGCTTTTAAAAGTGGGGGGGGGGGGGGATTTGTCCCCCCCGTCCCCCACCGATTGGCGCCCATGTTGTTAGCATTGGACGTAATATACCATTATCATGTTGCAGCCATTTGATTTTCCCATTCAAATCAATATAACCAAAGCGAGGCTGGAAGGAAAAATAGTCTGGTTCCTTTTTGCACAAAAACATTTTCATTCAGTACTGTTATTGGATACAGGGAACTTGACTAAAATGGTGGAAGCATGATATAGGTCTATACCTGGCTTTGCAACTGTCAGCTCACGACTGGCCATCCCGTCGCCCTTTGAACTATAACCTTTGACCCTGACGTAGTAAGTCGTGTCCTTCTTCAGGTCGTTGATGGTGATGCGGTCAGTGTTTTTGTCCACTGTTTTGACTGGTGCATCGTTTTCTGATCCTCCCTCGGGCCAGTACAGAACCTGAAAAGGATATTTTGGCAAAAGATGTTTTTTACCGGATATAAACTCTCTATATTAAACAAAAGCCTAAAATATCAAGTAGAAATGTGGACAGTTAGACTTGCAAAGTATAGCAACCAATAAACAGCCAAATCAAGCAACTTGCAATTACAAACCACTACACACAGGATGCATATACATGTTATTCATAATCTAGACTATACCTTATATCCAATGACATCTGCAGAGGTGAGTAAACTCCATTGGACTTCCATATCGGTGCCTTCACGTGTACCAACTACATTAGATGGTGCCAGAAGTAGTGCTGTTCACAAAATACAGACAACACCGTACAACTTACTCGCACGGTTAAATAATAATATGATAATTGTAAAGGCGTTATGTTATGTTGTCAAATAAGAAGACTCCGTTGTTTAGCCTCTCGTAGGTTTGACGAATCATTTGTAATAAGGAAATTCATTTTTAGTGATTGCTGATGCCTTTTGGGGACAACATATGTATTAAGGGAAAGGGTATCTATACCAAATTGACGACACTTGACATAGGCGTAGCCAGAGGAGGGGGGGGGTGGATTTACTCCCCCCCCCCCGCCAATATTTTGTAAAGACTGCCTTTTCCCATTCAAATGCCTTTTTTTCAACGGGCTTAACCCCCCCCCCAAAAAAAAAATAATTTGTAAAGAGTGCCCTTTTTTACTAAGTGCCCTTTTTCTGAACAAGTGACCTTTTCAAAAAAGAAGTGGTGCCTTTTTTTGTGGCATCTGCCGTTTTGGGTGCCTTTTTCAGAATTTCGCACATGTATCGCCCTGAAAAGCACCATATATTGGCCCTTTGTGTGCATAATTGTCGGTTTTGAACAGTGCCCCCATAGACAGATGGTACCAGCCCCCCCCCCCCCTGCTATTTTTATTTTACGGAGGCCAAGTGTCCGGAGAAAAAAACCTGTCTACATTTTTTCAAATTTGTTTACCCCCCCCCAATAAAAATGACCGTGCTACGCCCCTGCTTGTGTGGGTTTTTTGTGAAGGGTTTTCTCCCAGGACAATTAGATGTCAGAGAATGATGAACATCATTCAAAAAGAAATAATGCCTCCCCAATTTAAAAAGTTGATATTTCAGTCGAAGGCATTCTGTTTGATTGTATGAGTTAAAACCTCTGCCGACCTAGACATAACTGATGCATTCTGTATTCAATAAAGGTCGCTTTACCTGCAGTCACGTTCAAGAAGGCGTTGGTGATAATCTCTCCGTGGGTGTTCGATGCCACGCATTGGTAAACCTTCAGATCCATCACCTGGACTGATGATCTGCCATCTGTAGAGAAGACAGTCATCATTATGGTAACCATTATGGTCGTGGTTCAGGTTTCGGATATACATCTGGACATGTCCATGATTATGGTTTTTAAGGTTAAATTAATACGACATAAATGCATCTCATGGTTTAAGAAATGTATAACTATTATTAAATGCAGATGATTTTTTATAATTGTTGTATGTATGGAAATGCCTCAATGCTGGTGCAGTTGCATTCATTAGATTATTCTTAGCCAAACTTCTTTCAAACGCAGCGAAACAAAAAGGTTTGGTTGATCGGGCCCACATAATAATCTTTTCCACTTCATTTCGCCCTTTTCAACTCTTTTTCTTCTACTGTAAATCTAAATTCATTAAAATGTGCTACAAAAGCCTATAACATTTTGTGTCCGCTTGCCCCTTGATTCCCCCAACTATAACTCTATCCGCTCTGCTGATTCTATGGGAGTTTGTACCTTACCATATTCTGGTATATGTTCACCGTTCTGCATCCATGTAAGGACCGGGGCCGGCTCGCCACCTGCCTCGCATGTCATGCTGGTGCTCTTGCCTTCGTAGATCGTGGTATCACTGGGCTCGATGATCCAAAATGGCGCGACTGAAAACCGAAAAGGAACGTAGACGAGCTGTTCATTGGCAGTGCTGCAATCATTGTGGTGTTAGATCTACACCATGTGGTATCCATACCATTGGCAGTGCTGCAATCATTGTGGTGTTAGATCTACACCATGTGGTATCCATACCATTGGCAGTGCTGCAATCATTGTGGTGTTAGATCTACACCATGTGGTATCCATACCATTGGCAGTGCTGCAATCATTGTGGTGTTAGATCTACACCATGCGGTATCCATACCATTGGCAGTGCTGCAATCATTGTGGTGTTAGATCTACACCATGCGGTATCCATACCATTGGCAGTGCTGCAATCATTGTGGTGTTTGATCTACACCATGCGGTATCCATACCATTGACAAACCCCAAGGTGTAATTACACTCCCTTTTCAACGATGCCTTTTCTTTAGTGTCCTTTGATAGTAACCTTCAAGAGAGATGCGTGACTGCATTGTGACCATTATGTTTCCAGAAATTTCGTTCTACGTTGGCCCAAATTTCCATTTTTAAAAGTTGATGCACGCTTGCGTTAATACATCACTGTCAGCGTCGCCTTCCTGCCTGCTTGAACGCATGCGCTTATGCGTTAATCTAAATTGGTAAGTCGCAGGCGCGGTCCCCCCCCCCCCCCCCCGTAAAACCGCCACTGGTAAGTCGAACATTTTGTGCCATCCTATTTCAAATACACTACCTTCAACGTGTAAGGATGTAGTTGCTGTATCCTGATCACGTGATGACGAGGCCGTGCACGTGTAGACATCCTCTTGTTCCTGCTGCACATTGCGCAGACTCAGAATGGGGCCAGTACCGCTAAAGGATTGGTCCTGTAGTCTGGTCCAAGTGACAGTTGGTATTGGGCTACAACCAAATGAAAGGATAGCCCGATGAATTGCAGTAAATGAGGGACATCTTAAACCGTTTGCGCCTCTTTGTAAAAATTGTAAAATAGTTCCGACATCTGCCATTGCGTTTCATTTTGTGTCTATAAAACCTATAGCCAATAAACGTGATCAGTCAAACTGTAATAGGTAAAGTGTTTATGATTATGCGATAAGTTGTTATATTTAAAAACTTTGATTTACCAAGGACTCTTCTTAATGTTAACGGTACACATTGATGCCTATTTCACTGAAAAACTATATGGGTTTATTTTAAAACTGCACAGTGTAATGTTATTGAACATCAGTATGCGGTATCGACACTGAAGCGACGGTAAGTCAAGTATCGATACCAGTTTTGTAGGGTGTAGCATTCATACTTTCCAGTTGCCAGACAGTGCATCTTCACGTCATCTCCACGCACTGCATTGACGACTTGGGAGGCCTCTAGGATCCTTGGTAGTTGCTCGGGGATTTCTCCTGATGCTGTACGTAGTAGTTGTAATAAGATTGCAATAATAAATCTGCTGATGTAAATATGTATTAATTTACACAACAGTAGATCTCTGTTCAGTGCTCTTTAGACGCCTGACCCATTCTGATTATAGACAGTAGGTCAGGGAACCAGATGTACGTACTTCCCGGATGTCCGTACTCATTTAAATTGTGTGCCAGACAGTTATAGTTTCAAGAATTATTCGAGGTCAATTGGTTTAACAGTACTAAAATCAAAGTGGCATGTTTCAAAATTTTGGCGTTTTTGTCTTTAATAAAGAAACGTTCCCTATAAAAACAAAGCGCCAGAATCGGTGAAGTACAAAGTTTGACCTCCTACAAAGTGCAAAGTTAATGCAAAGCAGTATTCCAAACTTCTTGTTTTGTACATGATTTCGTCTATTATTGAATTATGAATGATTGCAATTCAGAAAAAGCTCATGTTTTGTAATGTGTGAGTTCATCATTTTACATTGGTCAGGTGTAAATGAAGTATCATTCTCTCATTTGTGTATAGCTTCAAAAATCACACCGTACAACCTCACCACTTATGACGGAAACCGTCTGTATTGCAGAAAATGTTTTATACTCGGGTCTAGCTGATACGCTAGCAGTACACCTATAGGTGCCGTTGTTGCTCAACAAAGCTCGCAGGAAGACCAGGTTACCCTCGCCCCCTTGAACCAAGTTGCGATCGGTATTCCAGGAAGAGCCGTCAGCGAAGATTGGCTGGTCATCTCCATCGGTCCAGGAGATTATTGGCGTAGGATGACCCGAAGGCGCCTCGCAGGGCAGCACTAGCGAGCTGCCTTCATTGACTGTGTGGCTCTGGGCAACATCTTGGAAGATCCTTAAATCTGAAAGGATTGACGTTTTTAGAAGCCGTTTACATGATTGTAAACGATGATGCTCTTGCACATAATAGAGAGCAGTGAAGGTAAATCAAGTTCAGTATTGAGCTAAAAGATAGCAGAGGCCAAACGCATCCTTGAGCGGTGGGGAAGAGAAAAAGATACAGATCCCTTAGAGAAAAAGAAAGAGATAAAGAGAGAGTTAAGACACGAGAGGTACCAGTTTGGGATACCATTTTCGGTTCAAATATGGCAAAATATTCTATTATGGAATTCTGGGGTCGAAATCCAAATACAGGGTAAGTCAAAACAAACAAAATCCAAATGTTGGGACCATTGTTTTAGTGAAGTTCTTCATGTAGCACTTTCAAAATCTAGGATATGAAAGCCCAGTTCATAAGCTTTGTTTTAGTACAAGAGTTATTCAAACCACTTCCTATGTAATTTGTAAGTTACGGAATTTTAAACACAACCACAGTTTTAAAGTTTTGTCCACGGATCACAAAAAAAATGTAAGTGTTCTTTCAGAAAACCGAAAACAAATCACATGGGAATGTACAGTATGTGAACGCACACAAAACGCACACCTTTTTGTGGTCCTTGGAAAGAACTTAAACGGTGGTTGTGTTTAAAATTCCGTAACTTGAAAAATACATGAGTGATTTGAATGATTCTTGTACTAAATGACAGCTTGTGAATTGGGCTTTCATATCCTAGATTATAAAAGTGCTACATGCAGAAGTTCACTAAAACACTGGTCCTGACATTTGGGTTCCGTGGGTTTTTTTTACTCACCCTGTAGAGAAACTGGTGACAGTGCGCGATGGTGTCATTGTGCATACATTTTGCGATCGGAGATACATGTAGTTTCCGAACTCTCTCTTTATATGGCTCTGGAAAGAAAGTGTCATCTTGAAACTTACAACTGAACTGCACTTGAGCGGGGTTAGAGACTGCCGTGCCAAACTCATTGGAAGCCAAGCAAGTGTAGTTGCCGACATCTGTCTGAGTTGCCCTCGGTACCGTGAGTTCACCGGCGGTGACCGTGATATCGGGGCCGGGGGTTACTGTCTCACCGTTATGCTTCCATTGGTAACTAGATGGACGAAAAGTGAAAACTGCTTGACAAATATGTATCACAGCAATGGCAAAAACCCAATGTGAAGCTTCAATTGGCTGTTTCTGTCTTTCAACAATGCCATTTTCTTGGTAAAGTTCACTAAAATCTGAAAAATAAAGCTTATGGAAGATGTATTAGTTTAGAGTTGTTGTGATTTATTAATGTTATATTTTATCACGGTACTGAGCCCCTAACACTGTTTTGAACAAAGAATTGAATCATTGGCGAAAACAGTTCTCCCCACTTTTTGGCGAAACGAAATCACGAAAGAAATCCAGTATTAAAAAGGACCCATTCTCTATTCATTATTACAAAACAACGCAAGCCTAGTAGAGCTGGTCCCAGTGTGCACATAAGTATAGTCAATTTATTCGCAATGGGGATTTATACTGAATGTCTTTTCATGTGGCCTACACGGGGGCGGGGTGGATTTAGACTCTACATTGGCGTTACAATGTAATCCTATACGAGAGCACCGCCCAGGTCATAAGTTACAGTCACCAGTCAGTCGTTAAGTCCATGAGTCAGTGAGATAGGTACAAAGAGGGCACTAGACTGGCCCCCTGGGACCAGCCAAATCACAAGCATTACTGACCTTATTGGTTGGGTGCCATCCGCTTGGCAAGGAAGAGTGAACGTAGTAGACGCCTGTGAATAGTCACCGAAATAATAGATCGACTTGCTCGGCTGCTGAGTCAGTCTAGGTGGCGCTGTTGGAATAGAGGCAACATGAAATGTATAATTTTATTAAATTGAAAGCAGTTAGGTTTCCATACGTAGAGAAACACGTTTTGTGGTTTTAAGCAAGCTGATCCAATACCACACCCACCAGCTCCATCTCTAGTCTATGCAATAGACCCTGGCCCTGGTGAAACAGATTCGGCGATTAATTATGCAACTAGACTGCGAATGACCTCGAGAAACTGACCAATCAGCAGGCGCCTTTAATACGCGCGTAATTCGAGCTCCCCGCGTGCGTAAACATCACGCCCGCGATGAGTAGCTTTTTTGTACAGGTTGTTGTATTATAAAAAGGCGGCATCGAAATTGACCAATCACAGTCTTAGTCCTGATTTCGGAATGAAATGACGTCACGCATGCTTAAATATATCCGGTGTTATATCGGAGACTTGGCTCCGTGGATAATGGGTGATACTCAGACTACTCTATCTCTGACGGTTAAACCACACAGACCAAAAAGGTAATGACTTGTATTCATAACGGGTAACCTTAGATCCTGATCCGCAGACTGCAGTACTCCTCTTTAATATAAAGTGTTGTTAATCTGAGCGCACTTTCACTTCTTGACATACGAGAACAATCCACTGCTTGTCGTAATTTTCCCACGGTGCATATGACAGGGAAAAAATCAAACAACGTAAAAAAAGAATGTGTTTCAGTTCGCCTTTCCATTTCGCCAGTTATTTTATTTCTTTTCTCTTTGATGAATCTGGCAAAGGCGATTGATGTTTGATAACAAAACTTTGAATGATGAGTTGTTATTTCCTATAAGCCCGGGGTTGAGAGTTGTACTGAATAAATGACAATCCAGTGTCTTACATTGCGCCTGGCACAGACTTGGAGATCCTTGTAGAACAAGAAACACAATGAGACTTGTAGCAGTCGCTTGAAAGAAACAGCTTCCCTCCATTTCCCTTGATAATAAACCAAAAAGATCCAGGTAATGCTATAACTATGGCCTATGAGTCTACAAATAACCAGGGCTGTGTCCGCATTACGTGGCTATGGTTGTTAGTAACTCACCCATCTATGTGAGTTTCTTTAGTCGCTTAGTCGCAAATGTAACTGCAAGTCGAGTCGGAGGCCAAATAATGAGGACGTGGCCCTTGGATCCAGAACGTAGCCGAGATTGGAAGAAGGTTACTAACCATCTTTTTCTTTGCGTGACATATTATGAAAATGAAAGCAAACCCATACACTCATTTGCAAACAAACCATTGTTGATTCAGGAGGAACTGATCAAATAATCACTATTGAGGATGTAAAGGTAACAGTTTTACTTCCATTTTCATAATATAGGTCACGCACAAAAAAAGATGGTCAGTTATTTTGAGACTAAGAGTCAATTTTGTCCAACCTCGGTGTCGTTCTGGTTTCGTCTCAATGGCCACGTCTTCATTACTTGGGCTCCGACTCGACATGCAGTTATACAGGGTGAGGAAAAAAAAGGAATGAAGTTTTGCCTGTAACAATTTCAAAATCTTGAATATGAAAGCCCAATCAAAGAGCTTTCTTTTAGTACAAGAATCATTCAAATCACTTATGTACTTGAACACTAATTTTGAAAACAAACACCGTTTTTAAATTTCTGTCCATGCACGGATCACAAAAAATAAAGTGTTCTTTTAGCAAAACGAAAACAATTCACACGCATTCCTGTGAGAGTTGCTTTCGTTTTGCTGAAAGAACACTTACTTTTTTTGTGATCCGCGGACAGAACTTTAAAACAGTGTTGTGTTCACGGCAAAATTCCGTAACTTGAAAAGTACATGAGTGATTTGAATGATTTTTGTACTAAAATAAAGCCTGATGATGACTGGGCTTTCAAATCCAAGATTTTGAAAGTGCTACGGGCAAAACTTCATTCAACAATTGGTCCTGCTATTTGGGTTTCGGTTGTTTTTGACATAGGACTTGGAAATGAAGCAGGATAATAATATCAAGTTGTTTGTCCTCTAGGATCTTTTTCCACTTGTACATTCTCACCCCATTGTCGATGATTGTGCACATCAAGGAATTAAGATTTCCAGGCAAAGTTTACAAGATATGTATGCTCAGAATGTAACATGGACAGAAAGTTGTTAATATTGATGGAAATATATAATTACAATAAATGTATTTTATGAAATATTGTCCCTTTTCATTCTTATCCCTACGTCATTGTTACCTATAGAAACCCAAGATTATCTTATTTTAGATGTACATAACCTTGTGCCACACGGGCGATTTATAAGTGCAATGTATATTTGAGATGTCACAGGGTATTATCTGCATATCATGAACAGAAACTGGGCACACAATGTCTGTCCACGTACAATACATATGTGTCTTAAAGACCAAGAAAATCGTCTCTATTTCGGCTGTTAGCAATCCTAAATGGGTTATGAATATAAATGAGATGACATTTGGGTAAAGTCATGCACAGGATAATCAGTGTCCTGCAAATTTATAGCACCAATTCTGTCCTTGTTACTTACGTAGTTATTTAAGATGACCACTGTATTTTTTAAGTACACCAAAAGTCCTCTATATATGTTATGGGCACATGATCATTAAGGCCTGAAGAATGTACAGGGGGAAAATGAACACCATATCTTGCTTTGCTGTACTCTCCAGCGTCCCCCTCTCAAATCCCAAAGTTGCAGTCAATTGCAACCCATTAGCGTGGACATGCCCAACTGCGGATTCTTACCACGACGGGACTACAACAAGTTAGAGCCACCCCAGTCTTTAATAATTTTGAAAAATTATCATCTCCAAATTTTGTACCACTCAGGAAAATGCCTGCGAGAGACTATTGTTATAGTAATTTCTTTGTGCGTGTTTTGAAATTATCACTCGCAAAGTTGGTAAGTAATTCTTAATAAGTGGCACTTTATTGAGCAGTAGCGATATGTGATAGAGCATGTCCACAACTTGTAGGCTATAATAAGGGTGCATTCCTTATGGTGTCCCGAACGACAACAAACTGATACAATTGCAGCATTTAGTTTTACCCACTCGCAATAAAGAACATATCAAAGGCAATATACAAATATATGAACGAAACAAAACAAAAATAGGATAGCAAATATATGATTGTTTTTTCCTATTTTGTTTTAATTCTAAATTCTCAACAGTCAATACATGTATTTTGAAAATTTGATGTTCAACAGAAAAAAAATGATCTGAGGTCCAAATGTTTTTGTAAAATTAAAATGTATCGACATTACGACAACATCATCTGGTAATAATCGAAGTATTCGAGTATAAGATTATGCATTTATGGCAAATTGGTAGTTCACTTTAGTTGGTATCCTAAATAAGACATCACGGATGCTATATGCGCAGCAGCTGTTGTTCATTAAAACAGAAGACATATTCGTCCAACAAAAGGCAATTGTTACTATGCAAATTCAATGTTACGTTTACAACTAAAGTGCGTTAAGTATTCGTGATAGAAAAAAAAGCTCTAGATTTTCTCGTGAATATAATCGAGCACTTTTTTTTAGCTTGAACTTTCAGAATATAATTCGCGTACACCTATGTCAATTTTATTGTATGAATTGATAGGCCCGCCAAAAGAAGTCACTGTCGCAACGGGCCTGCGGGTTTTTTTTGGGTTAATTTAGATCCGAAGTTCTTACCTTTGTGTGAATGAGTCTCAGTGTTCGGATTTCCGACGTCCAATTCTCACCCAAGTTGTAGAGGTAAAGAAATGTTTCAAAAAGTGCTTATTTCGGTGGACGTCGTGACAAAGGTGTGTCAGATATGGCCAGAAATTTCCTAATTGCAGCCGACTGACCTGCACTGTGACTGATCTTGCAACCTAATGGCTAATAATTTTCCCCTGGTGACTTATATGATGAATATATTTCTGTTTACCTTTTCCTTCTGCCGTTATAACTGGTTTTACTTTCACAAAGATAAGTTTCATTTGGTAATGTTCTGCATGGAGGATGTGTGTTTGTGTGAACGTTAGTTTCGAAACATTGTCCTTCCTGATCTCCAGTTCTAAATTCAGACATTGTGACCAAAGTACAACCGTGGTGCCATTTTTCAGACACAAAATGGATACTTCAAACAGTCATGAATGGCATGTTTTCCTGATATTATTCTAGGACTTTAATTAGGGGGAGTGCCGATTTAAGGGAGGATTATATACGCGAGCATTGGGTGAATGACACAGAGCCTTCATAGCTCGGTGCGTGCATAACGGAGAACTATATAAAAATATATATACAATTATCAGGTAGAAAGAATGCTATTCAAACAGAACACATGGAATTGTTGCCCGAGTTGACAACAATGTCACAAGATTTTAACTCTATTTGTGTATGTTTCTCCGCTTTATATCAATAACATCTGCAGAGCAATTTGTTGCCCAATCCAAAGGCGTTGGCGCCCTCTATATATAATATCCCATTTACAAAAACGCCTTCAAGGAAACGTTGTCGTCGTAATGCATGGGTAGGTTTACTTTCAACGTGCAATGTACATGTATATGCATTTCTTGTGCACAGGTCACGGAAGCGCTGACCCCGGGTCAGTGTATCCAAGCAGAGCTCAAACAAAAAGAGGTGCAGTCAGCCGCGCCTGCGCTCTTGGCAAGAGCGATGTGGGGATGAGTGGGATTCAATGATGGGGATAGAACAGACATGAATCCTGGGTTATTGCCGTCAGTTTACAGTTGCTTTAAATAAAAACCGAAATACACTTGTACAATCTTTTATTTTTTAGTTTAATGAAGTAAATTCACCTACTGAAGGTTCTTCAATACGGCGTCGTTATAGCGCCCTCAATCACTCATATGACTTATTATGACCCCTGGATGCATTGCCACATTATTAAAAGGTAGAGTACATCATTTTGTCATTTGTGCATTTTTGTTTCGTTTGAAGCAAAATCTTAAGAAGGGTGCTTAACAACTAACCTGATGAAGTTTTAGCTCCGTTAAAGTTGTATATTCCAAGAAAACAGCGTCCGGGACACGTTCTCTACCTTTAAACTAAGTATTAAGCTTTTCAACAATAATCTCGTCATTTACTGTTTGAATAGCTGCAAATGAGGGACAACCCATGCCTAACTTTGTCTTCGTGCACAAGTACCCCCTCAACG